CCCTGAGTCAGCTGGGATAGACTCCAGCCCCCAATATTCAGAACATGCTTTCTAAGGATGTTTTGAGGACGTTGCTGGAGAGAAAGTACTCCTGTGAAACGTTCCCACAATGTTACATAATAAACAATGGATGGACGTTCTCAATGCAACATCTGGAGAATGTTTTAAGAACATTATGGGAGAACTTTATCCTACCTTTACAAAGACAATTCTGGGAACTAAATGAAACTTCTCACAGAAGAAATGACTTTGCAGAACTCTCAGAACGTTTTAAGAACAAAAAAACAACGATAGCTGCATTAACCCTTTTTTTTCCTCCAAAACTGTTCCCAGCACCCCACGACCCTAGTGAGGATTAAGGTGTAGAGACGATGGATGGATATTCTTGACAATAGGAATAATGATGAATTAAAGCACTTTATAAATGTCATTTCTGACCACTTTCTCTCCCGTCTCCCTCTCTCTCCTCCCTCCAGGTGGTCGGCGGTCTCGATATACACAAAAAGATGGTCGTGGACGTGTGAGCGCTCTCCGCTCGCTGAATCCCCCCTTTGTCCTCAACACTCGCTTTCTCCACCATCTCTGAAGATCTGCTCAAGACGTCCGGCAAAACGCTCTCTGTGTAACTCAATGGAAGTATTCTCTCTCTTTTATCTCTCTCTTTTATCTCTTTCTCTCTCTGTGAAGCCACTTTTTTCTTTCAAACAAACAAACAAAAAACTAAAAAAAAAAAAAACTAAAAAAAAAAAAAGAAAACCACGGGCCTCGTGAAGCCAACTTTGAAGTGTTATTGAACTGTAAATCCTCTCAATAACCCGGTCGTAGCACTTGAAGAGACTGAAGGACATCTGATGTGTCGTTTGCAAGAGCATCTCCGGTTTTGGATGAGGGGGGAGGAAGAGGGGCAAAAAGGGGCAAAAGGGGGCGCAGTGAAGAGGCTGGTTGGCTTGTTCATATTTCATCCTTTCTTTTTTTTTTGTTTTATTTTTTCCTTTCTTTCTTTCTTTCTTTTTTTTTTTGTTAATTGTTATTTTTGATATTTATTTTTTTTGTTCTTGTCTTTTATAAAGAAGAAAAAAAAATACAAGTATATCTACGGTTGTCTGGTGAGGGGAAGTGTGTAGAGTACGAACACTTGACTTGCAGTACAACTAGAAAGTAGGGTATGAAGTGCCAACCAGAACATATCCAGAAACCAGTCCACGTTATTATGACCTATCATCGTTCACGCCCGTCGGGACGCTTCCAACACACGCCACTCACATTAGATGCATAAATAAAAACAACAACAAAAAGATTTCCCTTCTCCGTTTTAGCTCAAACAGACCAGGCAAAGCTTCCTTTTAGCAAAAAGCAACTCCTGTTTTTTCTTTTTTTTGTGATAAGAAGTTTTATTTATAAAGAATGTGTTTATATTGATCCTCGTTTCCTGTCATGAAATTCTAGGTAGATCAATTTATGCCAAGAAAATGTCTTTCCAAAATAATAATAATTAGTGGCTGCAAACTGGTTTACGCTCGACGAAGCATTTTTAACATCCATACGACAATCTCCAATGCAACGAGTCGCTCTGCGCTCACACTAAGTGGAATCATTTCAAGACTTTTCTGTAGGTTGTAGGAACACAGGCTGGACGCTTTGGGCTCGAGAGAGTGACAATGGTGAGATTATACACTGTTTGTGCAAGGACATAGCAATTTAAGAGACTTATCTGCAGGCAGCGTTTTCTTTTTTCTTTCTTTTTTTTTTTGTTTTTTTTGTTTTTTTTAACCAATATGTGTATATTAGGTAATCAATGTGTGCTCATCTTATTTAACAGCGAGGAGAGAAGGCTTTGCCTCTGCTTAACATGAGCCCTTCTGAATACGTCTCAGTGCAGCACAGGACGGGTCAGTTTGTTTCGTTTTTCTTCTTCAACGCAACACAAACACTTAAAATCTTAACACGTTGGCATGAACAGTGTGCAATGGGGTAGACTGTATATTGTAGTTTTTTTTTTCCTGAACGTGTACATTTCAAAAGTTGGCTTCTTCTTCTTTTTTTTTTTTTCCTTCCGTTACAATCACCTCATTTTTTTTCTCCCCCCTCCCACCCACTAATACGAACAGGGAGAAAAAAAAAATAAAAATTCAACCAAAATTTTAATAATCCAAGGGGAAACATGCTTCCTACTATAAACAGCTTTGGGATAGTTTTATATTTTTTTTCTCTTCCGTTTTGCTTTGGAGGCCGACTGCTGGTTTGAACAGGAGTTTTCAGTCAGAGATGTGAATCTGGAGTGCTCTATCGTCCCCTTATCCCAAAGCTCTGCACGGCTTGGGCCTCCCTGTGCTTGCATGACATGGAAGTATATTTTTTGTTGTGCATGTAGATCAATTTTTTGAAATAATCCTCTTGTTTACACATGGATGGTGATGTTAATATATTTAAGAATTTAAATGGTATACAAATATGGATGTTGCCAAACTTTGGTAAATGTACACATATTATGAGAGGTAATCCAAATGAACTGAACTACATGTAACTTTTTGTATTTTACCCGGGTCAGCCAGATGCTTCGATTCCAGTAAAAGTTGCATATCTGATCCTGTCTCAAACTGCCACACACTGTACTCAGCTTAAAGGGGAAAATTTGATGTTTTTTTTTTTGTTTTGTTTCATTTAGTTTTTTTTTTTTTCTTTCTTTTGTATATAAGTATTTGTTAAATGCAGTTCTGGCTCTCTGTTCTCTGTATAGTTCAGACCGCGCTTTAGTTTGTAAGTGCTACTTTTTCTCTGAGGGACTTGGGTTCTTTTTAGTTTGTGTGGGGATATCTGAAAAAGATTTAAGTTTGAGAACCTTTTTTTCCTTTTTCTGCATGCTGCATCTTATGCTGTGGGACTGTTGGAAACTTGATACTGTATGAAAATTAAATAAAATTTAAATAAACTTTGAAATGTTGAAAGTAAAAGGAGTTTTGGTCTTTTTTTTAAATTTATCATCAGAAACAAACACTTGAACCTGTTTTCAGTGGATTCTTTTATTTATTTATTTACACACTCATCCTTTCAGATCATTTCTTTCTGCTCCTCATCAACCCACATCACAGTGGGGTTTCCACCAGCCAATGGGGGAAGAGATAAATACACGTGGCAGCCAATCACACTTCAGAACCTCTCTGCAGTCCTGCTGGCCACCACTCTGATGTTGCCGTAGACCTTTGAAGGTGGACTTCCTGTCGGGGCAAAAAAAAAAGGGTTTGAAAGGTCACTTCTCTCAGCACAGATTCAAAGAGTTGTGAAGGTGACATGGAACCACAAACACGGTCCTCCTTACCTAAGATTAGGTTGCATATCGCTGTCCGGGCCATCTTGATGTTCTGGAAAGATCCTAATATGTGAACTTTTCTGTTGACAGAGATGAAGGAGGGTCAGCTGTTTTAAACAAGTAGAGCACACAGTGCAGGTGGAGGCGTCTCTGAGCACATTACATACAGACGGGTAAGAAATTAAAGCAAAAACTGGACCCAGTGATGACTACGGTGAGATCTTCCAGGATGACAGACTAGAACACACAAGGGGTCAGTAAATGGTTTAAATTAATTAATAATAGATCAGATTTATAGGAACTCAAAGCCGCTTTACACTGTCATTTAGTCATTCACACACATTCATCCCTGTGGTGGTAGATTGTAGCCACAGCTGCTCTGGGGCAGACTGACAGAGGCGTGGCTGCCATTCTGCCCTCCGACCACCACCTCAAAAAATCCATTCATACGCATTCACACCAGGCAACATGGGTGAAGTGTCTTGCCCAAGGACACAACGACCTAGACACAAGCCCCAGGTTTAGGGCAAGGATCTCCAACTCTGGTTCTCATGAGCTACTGTCCTGCAGGTTTTAGATGTTTCCGTTCTGCAACACACCTGACTCACATTAGTGGATCTCCAACAGCTTGTTGTCAAGTTCTACACAAGTCTGTTGGAGATCCATTCGTTTGAGTCAGGTGTGTTGCAGAACGGAAACATCTAAAACCTGCAGGACAATAGCTCACGAGGACCGGAGTGCGATTCTCGCCTTCACAGTTACCAGATCTCTGCTTTATTGAATCTCTATGGGAGAGTATGGATTAACTTTACAAAAAAAAAAAACACCCCACCATCATTAAAACACCAAATGAAGGAATGTCTTTTGGTAGAATGGATCTCCTTGAACCAAACACTTGGAGAATCAATGTCAAGGTGTTTTGAAGCTGTTCTGGTGGCACACGGTGGTCTTAAGTTAAGTTGAGTTTTCCTTTGCCACCCACACAGTGACCATGGAACCCTGATGCATGGTTCTAAAGAGAAAATCCTAACATTCCTGGTAAACAATTGCTGCTATATAATCCTACATCATGGTTGTGAATCAGGCCAGTTTTAGTGTGAAAACATTGTGTTATCTCCTAAAGTTGTCCTTATTTGGGGTTTCTGAGCCTCATCTTGGGGCTTTAATAATGCAGGATAAGATGCAAAACTTCTAAGATTCTTTCATACAATATGCTAAAATGCAAAAGTGCAACGACACAAGACTAACGATTAATAATCACAGAAATGAAATAACAGAAAGATGGCGGCCATCATTCTGCTGTAGCGGTGCAGGAACAATAAAACACTCACGTGTCTGCGAGCACAATACGAGTCTTTGTGACATTTTCGATGGTGAATTTGGTTTTTCCTCCCTTCCCCGCTATTCTCCCGATGGCTCTGGATAAGTGGTCTCCCTTCAGAGGTTTTACTGCACAAACACAAGAGAACAATTAACCACACCGCGGGAGTTTTGGACTGTTTCATTTCGCAGCGGGGAAATGAAAGCGGCAATAAAATGTGAAGGAGTTTCAGAGAAATCTTACCGTCTGTGACATCGAAGCTTTCAAGGAAAAGCTCGTCTAATCTGATGAGAGCCAGAGCGTCCTGGGAAGAGAAAGTGTGAATGTTACATCACAAGCAAAAGTCCAGTGAGGTTCATTCACAAAACACCTCAAATCAAACACTGTGACAGTTAGTATGAAGCTGTCAGTTCACATCTGAGCTTCTTTTAAAAAACGTTTGAGCATTTCTCAGGTGGTTTTGTTGTTGACAGGGAGGAACTTCATGACTTTCCAACCATCTAGTCCTAATCCTACGTCTCTACCACTGACCCCCAAACTTCACTTTATCCTCACAAATATGCAGTTTGTAGAAGAAGAGACACAAAAATCTGATTAAACAGCCTCGTCTCAGCCAAACTACAGACACGCAGAGCTCCATGAAACCCTCCTTCTATGTACTTACTTCAACCTGGAATCCAAGAATAAACGCTCTAACGAAATCTGCTGCTTTCGTGAGCGAGCCGATGTCCTGTGTTTCTTTGCACGTCTGAAAGAAAGAAGCGACATTAGAACCAACCGTAGACGTCTCAGTCGACTTGCTTAAACGTGCCGCTTCAACCTACTTTGATTTCCACGTTCCTCGATTTGAGGTTGAATCTGACTTGAAGCTGCAGGTTTTCTACGATGGGAGTGAAGATCTTGAGCCAGTTGTCCTTCAGGGGCGTGTATCTGTGAGCAGGAACTGGGATTTTGCGCATGTCGTTTGGACCCTGAAACACACACGGAACGATTCTCATTATGCGCTCCGTGACACGAACAAAAGCTGTTCTGTGGCACCAAATTTGAGCTTCTTAGAAAACCACTTTGCTTCCTACTAAGGGAGCTAAAAGTGGAGTCTGTCCTGATTCTTCTATCAGCTGAATTGTGCGGTCTATGAAACTAGGGCAGCAGCTAACAACTATTCAGGTTTTCAATTAATCTGTTGATTATTTTCTCGAGTGATCGATTAGTTTTTGGTTCAAAAATGTCAGAACATTGTGGAAATGTCAAAAAGTGTTTCCCAAAGCCGCAGCTTACGTCCTGTAATGTCATTTTTGTCCACTACTCAATAATAATCAGTTTACTGTTGTCAAGGAATAAAGAAACTATAAAATATTCTCATTTAACAAAGGTTGAATCAGAGGATTTTGACATTTTTTTTCTTAAAAAATTTGTAGAATATTATCTAAATAGTTGGTGATTCATTTATGGTTGACAACTAACCAATCAGTCGTTGAAGCTCTTTAATAAATCTTTAATAAATATCACTGGTCCTCATAACAGATTCAAGATTTACAAACCTGTAGGACCAAAAAAAAGCAGCTACTGCTTCCATCTGTGAACCTGAAACCATCAAATGTTTGGTATTTTTGCTTAAAAGCTGACTTGTTTTCTTAATTATTTATGAAATGAAATGAAATGAAATGAAAAAAAAAAAAAAGAAAAATACTTTATTCATCCCAGAAGGGAAATTCAATCAGTTTATTAAATAAGTTGCTCATTAGTTCTCTTTCCATTAACTGATTAATAATATCTAACCAATACATCTTTGCAGCTCCTTTTTAAACATTAAAGCAGTCCACATTCCCTATGGATCAGGTATTAGTAACACAACATGCTGGGATATTAAAAGTAAAGCCCACTTGTTATGCTGCTTTTCAGTGTTTAATTACTGATGCTTTGTCGTGGATGGTCTTAGTAATCCTTGGACTGCTGGGCTGATAACAACAATGAATATTCATTTTCTGTTATATATTCCATGTGTTGTATCTGTAACTAGGTCTTCTCCATATGTCCTTTAAGCATCAACAGTGTGATGAATGCAGGCACAATACTCACATGGAATAAGTGCATCGTGAAGCAAAGCAAGACAAGTCAACAGCTCTTGCTACACTTTTTTTTGTGGCTTAATACAAAAAGAAAACTTGCACATTTCTCATTTTCTATGTTTACTCTCATTATTTACTCTGATTTTCTGACATGCAGGCTCCTCGTGTGAACAGTGACATGAGTGAGGAATAGGACAGAAACGCTGTAAAGGGAGATTTGTCTTTCAGACAGGATGATGTTGAACAAAAACGAGCATTCTGCCTCTAAATGAGGCAACAAAACAACCTACAGGCTGTCTGACCATTTAACTCAACACCAGAAAGCCCTAAAGGATGAGTGCAAGGACAGATCAGAGGCCATCAAAAACAAAAAACATTTTGGATTCCAAACAGTATACACGCTTGTCTCTTTTGGACTTTTTTTTATTTTATTTTGTTTAATTGCAGATACACTTCCGAACAAATATCACCCAAAAAAACACTAGATCAAATAGTTATTCAACTCATCTGGTGGAAATTCCTATCGCAATATATCACAGGAAAACAAAACATTGCAAAATGAGTTTTTCTAATATTGTGCTGCCCAATCTATAATTTTTTTAGCAAAGGACCTGGTGGCTGCAGTCAGCCAGTATTGGGTAATAAAATACAGGCATGAAAATAAAAAGCAAAGTGCTAAAAAAAAAAGAATCACTGAAGGGTTTTTAATATTTTTCTTCTCCTCTGTGCTGCCAGAACAACTTACAGCAGCTTTATTTAGTGCAGTCACAAGACTACACTGCGCAGGCGCACAACAGTTACTGACTTAAAGGGAAACAGGAGCGACACTTTGTCAGGAAGACAAACAGCATTAAATACTCACTTACTGACATAAGTACTACACTGTTGAGACAATACAAAGAACACGTGTATGCAGCTCGTACTTACCCGTAATTTGTCGCCTGCCAGCGGGGGAAACTGCGGCCGCTTGTGTGCCACGGGCTCCTCTGTGTCCATGTCCGCTCCATCTTGTTCGCGTTTTCTCTTCTGAGTCTTTTTAGACTTGACTTTAGTGAAGGACTCAGTGTCATCTGTACTCTCCACGACTGCTCCGGCGTCTGGGGTTGGATTTTTATCGGCGTCCATGCTAACAGCAGTGTAGTAAACAAGAGCAAACTGTTAAACCTGGAGCAGACTTCGGCCACAGACGCATGAGGGTGTCCTCGTGGAATGGAAAGGACCCAAACGGCCACATCGCGGACGCCTGTAGATTAAAAAAAAAAGTTATTTGTCGTTTTAAATTGATCTAATCTGTCCATTTAGGTCACGACAATAAGTACAGAACAATAAATTATCTTCAAACATTATCTACGTAACTAAAATACGAAATGTTAACTTAAAATGTACACTTTTATTCAGGCACCTCTGCAGGCAGCCGCTCGCCCAGCTGTAGGAGTGTCATTTGTTTTGGCAGTGAGCTGCATTGAACGGCCTCTTCCTACTTTTCTGGTGGATTCAAACCGTTTTGCAGAATATTTCCACTTCAGCCAAGATGTCAACGCCTCTATCCAAGCCTCAGATTATCGCGCACATCCAGAAGAGTTTGAACTACACCGTTTTTGACAGCAAATGGATTCCGAGCAGCGCCAAGTTTGTGTGTCTGGGGAACTTTCCCAGAGGAACCGGAGTGATGCAGATATATGAAGTTCAGCACGGAGAGGCTCAGCTCGTCAAGGAGGTGCGATAACATTTTACAACTGTGTGCTTTTGTCCCGTTTGTTGACTTGTTGACTTGTTAAACAAACGCCGTATGTTGGGGCTAGCTAGCTTAGCTTAGCTGAGGCTTCTAGAAAAGTCTTGCTAGCTTGTCTCCATGACAACAGGCAACATGGAGACCATCCTCTACTGGTTATAAGTTTTTATATCCGCTCTTATTTTGTTGTATTGTATGTGTTATTAGTGATGCTGCTGCTGCTGCTGTAAAGGTTACAGTTCAAGTGTGATGTTCTGCAGTTCTTCAGGGTTGTGTTGTTCCACTTTACTCTTTAATACACCCTCAAGGTGTTTCATTACATTTGGGTCCAACAAAATCCTTTGCCAGGTCATATTTTTCACTTTTTTGCTTCTTTAGGAACTGCTGTATGATTTTGGTAGAATTTTTTTTCATGCTGGCATATTCCTCTACTGCCAATATTCTGCAGAGTAGGAGTCACTTTGTCAGTCAGTATTTTGGTTTATCCACTGGTTGCCATCTATAAATGTCATCTCTCCAACACCTTTTGTACTCACACAGCCCTGTATCGTCACACTCCCCCCTCTGTGCTTCACTGTTGGGACTATGCATTCACTGTGGCGGTCCCAGTCAGGTTCAGGGCAAACATGATGGACCTTATCTGAGCCAAACAAAAACATCTTGGCCTCATATGACTAAATAATGTTCTCCCAGTGTTTGTCAGGCTTTTTTCATGCCCTTTCGTAAAGATGCTACTGTTTTGTACCAAGCAGCAAGCAAAGGTGTTTTTATGGATGTGGTTCATTGAGGCTGATGTTACACACTGTCAGAGCTGTCACAGAAACTCTGATTTCTCTTCATAAGTTTTGTGCCAAACATGAAGCACTTCTCTGTCTGGTCTTCAGACCTAGATTGTGGCACCCTCTCTTTAATCTAAGAAGGACCCACTATGGCTCTGATAAGTGGTACTATGACTTGTTCGATACAGCCTAATTATCACTGCAATTGTGGTTCAGCTAATTTTTCTGTGGTCACGACTCTTCCTGTATCCCTCTCAATCAGTTTTGAATCATCTGACATTTAGGTAATATTGCACAGGTTGGACTTACTTCTGTTGTAGACTGTAGCTTGTAGCTAGATTATAATTAAATGAACTGCCATAAACATTACTCATTTCTCTCTCTCTTCTTATTTAAAATGCAGACTATTTTGCATTAACACTTTGTTCAAGATTGAATCAAAAAAGGAACGATGGTCTCCATGTCATGTTGTCATTTTACTGCTTGTTGTCTTCTTCTTGGAGCTAAACAAAACTCTGTCTCTCATATGTTTCAGGTAGAGAAACCTAAACCCATAAAGTGCGGGACGTTCGGGGCCACCTCTCTTCAACAAAGACACATAGCAACTGGGGATTTTGATGGAAATCTCAATATATGGTATTTGTTCCACATATATTAATGTCACAACATCTGTCTTGTCATTAAAAAAATGAAAGGAAGGTTTTAAATTCAATCCCAAACCACTTCATGTGCAAACGTGACAGCCTCAATTAAAAGTTGTTTTAATTCTAAAGGCTCAATTAGGCAATTACTGCTGGCCTCATAATGAAAAGATGTTTTCAAAATGACTGGTCCATTCAGTACAGATGCTCCTTGTGCTCACAGGAATCTGGAGACGCCTGATGTGCCAGTGTACACCGTAAAGGCCCACAAAGAGATAGTGAACAGCATTGATGGTGTCGGCGGCCTGGGAATCGGCGATGGTGCGCCTGAGATAGTCACCGGAAGCAGAGACGGTAAGAGCATTACAGGTTTGGTGTGAGTTACAATAACCACAAATCAGTGCTTTGACAAAATGAAAAACAAATGTACGGTTGGTGTTTAAAGGGACGGTAAAGGTGTGGGATCCCAGACAGAAGGAGTCGCCTGTCGCCAACATGGAGCCTGTGGAAGGAGAAACCAAGAGGGACTGCTGGACTGTTGCATTTGGTGTGTAAAATACTCCTGACTGCTGAAGCACATACATCAACAAGTATTTCAGTGCTAACAACTCTGCATTATCTACAAAAACAGGGACATAACTGTTGTGTAACTGTAGGCTAGTGATAAGAAGTAGCTGATGGAGCCATGGGTAATACCAGTATTGTGACATGAGAACAGATGTGTATCATATATGCATTGTTAATAATAATAATAATAATAATATTAACAATACTTTATTAATCCCTTACAGAGAAATTGCCATGACGTGAAATTTTCTAGTGTTTAACTGAATAATAATAATAATAATATTAACAATACTTTATTAATCCCTTACAGAGAAATTGCCATGACGTGAAATTTTCTAGTGTTTAACTGCTATACCAGACAGTACACACAATTACATAACGGACAACGAGGGCACAGTATGCCAACGAACTAACAACATGGGGAAGACTTAAATGCACTAATGGTATATCCATAAAACTGTGTTGTACATTTAGATCTATTGTTTGTGTTCTTCACAGATTTATTACATACTTTATGTACATTTCAGGTCATGCCTTCAACGATGAGGACCGCTGTGTGTGCGCCGGCTACGACAACGGCGACATTAAACTCTTCGACCTGCGGAACATGTCTCTGCGGTGGGAAACCAACATCAGAAACGGGGTGAGGTGAAAACATCGCATCATAAAAGTGTTGTGACAGCTCTGTTACAAGTGATTTTTGTTAGCTTGTTGATGTTTAATACCTGATTTCTTTAGTCGTGTAGCCAGTGCGGCACCACTGCAAGAAAATTACACCCGTTTTAAAGAAAATGTGAATTCAAAGTGACAGCATGAATCATCCAGTTCGACTCTGCATAACAAAGAATAATCCCAATGCTGAGAATCGATGTTTTTATTAGGATTAACTGTCCAGACACGGCTCAGTTCTTTTGCACCACAACCTACATTTGAAAACAAAAATATGAGTTAGTATGGAGACAGAGCTGAAAATGACTTCCTTGCACATTAAAACCACAGAGAAGGTGAACGGTCCCTTCACATGCTGCAGACAAAGCGCTGCACTCTCACTAGACACATTGTGTTTGTAGTGGAGCCATGCCGTGTGATAAACATCCATAGCGTAAGTGTCGTTTTGTTCTTGCATCATGACCAGGTATGCTGTGTGGAGTTCGACAGGAAAGACATCAACATGAACAAACTGGTGGCCACCTCGCTGGAGGGGAAATTCCACGTCTTTGACATGAGGACCCAGCACCCCACCAAGGGCTTCGCCTCTGTTTCCGAAAAGGTAATTGAGCAGGGTGGAGCGAGCCAGACGGATGTTTGGCTCCCACGTACGGGAAAAATGTCAAAAGGTTATTATCGGTATTATTATTATTCTTACGTTGGTGTAGTACAGAGGGAAATGGGGGCACACGTCGTTCTGACCGTTTTCACAGCTGGAAGTGTTTGAGGTTGTGTTTGTCTGACATTCTCTGTGGCTTGATGTCACCGGCCAAAAATGACACCGGGCCGGTGGGCAGACAGAAGTGTGGCTTTTTGTGGGAAAATGGTAGAAAAACACACTTAAGCCGGCATTAGTGCTGAGCCCTGTTGGCCAAGTGTTTGCTAGCCCTGAGCGATCGGGGGCCTCGGCTTTCTAAATATTTGTCCAGTTCTTCTGAGAGATCAACAGTTGGCACATCAGTGTCTCCAACCGTGTGTTGTTGGGTTTCATCAGGATTTTTTTGTCCAAAATACAAAAAAGACAAATCGAATGTAAATGCAGGTCTATTGTTTGTATTTATTAATATTAAAGTCATATTCACAGCATCTAGACCAGCTAGCGGACTCTGAAGGAGCCATTTGCTATTAAAAAAGTAGAATATTGTTTTTTGTTGTCATTTCCACATGACATTGTGTCTTAAAACTAAACTCAGTGGTTTAAATGAACTCAATAATGTTGTTTTCTTCTGCAAAGCTGCATACGTAATGGCTGCAATTCAGTTTGGCCAGTTTAAAGTGGAGCGCTGGGGAGGGTGGGGGCAGAGGAAAGAGGTCTCATGAGTGATTAAAATAAAAACGAGTTCACCAGTCACCTGGCTTTCACCTGATTTCAAGTCAACACCAAGGAAGAGTAGAAACTCTGAGAGACGGCAATCTGGGCAGAAAGATGACACAACAGCAAAACCACACAGTTTGACCTTCGTCGGCTGAAAGTGGCTGAAAGCTTTTCTGCACAGCTTTACAATGTGTTTTGGGAAGTGAACGATCCCTGTTCTTTATTTCAGGCTCATAAATCAACCGTCTGGCAGGTGAGACATTTGCCTCAGAACAGAGACATCTTTATGACTGCAGGGGGAGCAGGCAACCTCCATCTATGGAAATAGTAAGTAATCAGTCAAAGCTTAAGCTATATACGTGCACACCGTGGAGGCTGCTTTGTAAGAATTTAATTTCCTGCTTCGTGATGAATTTATCTTTATGTTTCTGATGTAATTTCCAGCGAGTATCCTGCTCAGAGAAGCAAAAAAGACTCTGACGACGTGGATGTCGGTGTCGCCGGCTCCGTCAACCTCTTACAGAACGTCACTCTGTCCACTCAGCCGATCGCCAGCCTGGACTGGAGCCCCGACAAGCAGGGCCTGTGTGTGTGTTCGGGCTTCGACCAGTCTGTCCGTGTCCTCATTGTCACCAAGCTCAACGTAGTGTGAAAAAGCAGACCACTTCCAAGACTCTTGGGCAGCTTAAAATGAAGTCAGACACAACTGCAGAGATGCACCAACTGTGTGTGAATGACACTGAATCGTCTCTTATTAGAGGACACCGGTTTCCTGCTGTGAGTCTGGGCAACTGTCTAGATTTTGCACAATTGTTTTCTTGCCAGACAACACTTTAACTCAAATGAACTGGGGAGTCTTGTTTGGATTTGGCCGTTTTGTCTCTGTTGATATCTCTGAAAATGTGTCGTGCCTGATTTTTATCCTGGAGTGTGGTAAACATCTCTCTGTAACACCATTATACATTTTCCATATGACTATAAAGCCTCTATTGAGATGAAGGATGGAGTCATACAGCCTTTGGCTTGGACTGATTGATGAACAAAATGAATTTCTTGATCAATTTCCATTTTTGTAGGAGGCTCTGAGTATCACCTGTCTTCTGTTGTTGCACTGCGGTGAACATTGTTGTGCTCCAGTTTCATTTGTTGTTAAAGTTGTTGCTTTTGATATGATATTTTTTTGAGAACTCTTGTTTTTTCAAATTAAACGTGGGTTTGGAGAGAAAAGGGTTGACCTCTGGCCAAAAAGATTTCTGAAATCACGTGCAAGTAAAGTCAAGAGAAGTACTTTTTTTATAAACACGCTTAAAACAAAATATGCTTCTTTTTTTTTTTTGGTGTGTTGAAAGCAAACTGTTGCTCAGTCGCGGATTCAAAAAGATGAGATCAGGTTACAAACTTCATATCCAGCATTTGAACTTGAAGAAGTCCTGTAGTTCCTCGTCGTCCTCCTGTCGGTCGTGGATCCTCGCGTAGATGCTCTTCAGCAGCCTGGTCATGGACTTTGCATCCAGAATGTCGATGTATTTCTCTATGCAACCTGCAAACACAGCCACACATCAGAACATCAGGAATACTGAAAACAAACCCTCTAATATGTGCCGCTTTGTTCGAAATCTTTAATCAAATGTGAACATCTTTACATACTGAAGCTGTTCTAACCCGACTTGCCCTGCGGCTAGTGGGCTACTTGACATCATGCTGCATGTATGTACTACTATGTAATATGTCATGCCATCTGTCTGACCATCACACCAGCTGAATGTGATACATCTCTATAAATAACATGACATGGCATGTCACATGGGTCCGGCTGCATGATTTCAATACAACACATTTGTTAAATATAGTTCAGCTGAGTGCTAATAAAAACCACTGCAAACCAGCGTTTCCCACTAAATCGCACAGTGAGCGCAGTGTTTGTTTAAACGCTGTCGTTCAGGATGGGTGGAGTTTCACACATAGAGCAGCGTAAAGAATGATACCGTTGTATTTTTTACAGACGGTCATTTTTTTTCTGTGTCTAAAAATCTACTAACCTCTTCTAAGACTAACACAACTCAGTCTGTTGTATTTATAATAGTTAACAGTGCTTACTGAGGCCCATGACTTTGCCGTGTGCTACGAGGCAGGAGCCCAGCTGTGGGTGGTCGTACTGCTCCTGCGACATCAGCAGGCGAACGGTCTCTCCCGTGATGAAGGCGTCGTCGAAGCTCTGCTCGGCCACGGGCTTCAGAGGGAATCTGCAGTACACGTCCACCGCAGCCCGAGGGTCGGCAGGCTCCAGCAGCTGCACAAGCTCGATGTAGACGTCGTGGACCTAAACAGTCGGTTAATTCATTAGGCGCTGTCATCTGGATCGCATCAATAGAGAGGGGGAATTAACATCACACATCTGCTCTGGAGAAATAAACACAGCTCCTACAGGTTATCCAAATGTTAGGACATCTTTGTCTACAGTGTTCTTGAGCTGCAAAAGGATGAATATAGGAACGAATCAAGACATTCCTGAGGAAACGTCAGCTAAATGTGATCCGGCTGATCAGCTAATGACATTATACCAGTGCGTTCAGACTGCGGATAATTCAGGAGAATAAGAGCAACAGCTTTCCTGTCTGTGACACTCTCCTCTGAAAATATTGTAGAAAACTGTCAGTTTCTAATCCAGCAGAGGAGCATGTGATCATTACACTGGAATTAATCACCCAGACTGGAGTCGCACAGTCGGGTGGGTGTGAAAAACGGTGATGTAATCTTATTTTATAGCCAATGTAAGCCAGCCGCATTGCAAAACCACAGAGGAAACGCCTGAGATCTGAAGGCAGCCACTGACCCCTGGTGCCATGGCGATGACCTCCCGGTAGAGCTGTTTCGCCTGATCCTGGGTGTCCGCGGAGCGTGAGAGGGCTCGAGCCAGACCCAGCCTTGGCACATGAGACCTGCGGTTCACTGGGCTGGACACGCCGACTCGGTCTGCCTCTGAAACAACAACTACATACATACAAAGAGTGCAATCACATGCATTGGTAGCTACATACAGAACAACATACAGTATGTTGTTTTCATGCTTTGCCATAGAGGAGGTTTCACAATTACAAAACAGAAGAACCCTGCAATGTTTAATATCTCATTCTCGACCTGTTTAATGTTTACATGCTCCTGCAAAATTGATTTAAAGAACATTCCTGCACCTGAAACAGTGTGGGGTACGATGTGATGTCGACTTATATGCATATTATCTGCAACATAAAGTAAAACGTGCAGGGAGAAGAGATAACTAAGAGAAATTGGCGTTAAGATTTGTCAGGCAAAGTGTCATTCTTTTTTACTTTTTCCATTTTTCGTAACTCATTCTCATACATTCAGAGTTCATAAGCCTCATTTTGTACTCTTGATTGTTCAGTTTTCAGTTTATGATACATGCTTGGAGCTTACAAAACCCATTCGCACCTCTTCCAGACTAACTGTGGAGGCTTTCACTCGACTGTCTGTGCTTCTCAGTGCATCTGTCACGCCTTACCCTCTGCCTTCTCAACACCATCAGGACGACGCTCCTGTTTAGACTTGTTGGCGGGGAGCTGGGCTTTGGTGCTGCTGTTGGAGGGTTTAGCTGATCTATCCGGCTTGGCAGCTGCTCCAGCTCTCCCCCTACAGGATAGAAAATATAGAACAAAAGCTCCAAAATGGCCTTTCAAAATTACAAGTCTGTTTATGCTGTTCTGGCAGAATTTGTGCTCATGCAGAGAACATGGCACACGCATCGCATTTATGTCAGTGTGAAGGTTGTAGACACGATACAATTAGTAAATATACAGTCATATGTCAAGAATTTTTCAACGTGTTTTAGTGTACTTTAACTTTCATGGCCTTCTGTAATTCACACAATTCATGTTTTATGCAGCAGGCCTCGTATTTAGCAGCATACCAGAGCTATTAGAAGACATGCATCCACAGGAAATGATCCATGAATAAATGAGTAACAAAAACATCCACAAGCAACCACACAGCACATCTACCAAAGCCTAGACTCAGCGGGCTGCCAGCGTGACTCACCTGGCTGCAGGAGCTCTGGCTGGAGGCCGGGCAGCCTTGGCCCCCCTGACAGGAGCTGGAGGAGCTTTGGTTACAGCTACTCGCCCTTGGCTCGGCCCTCCTCTGCCCTGCTTGGCTCCTCTTTTTGCCACACCGGTGTCACAAGGACCCTTCGCTGCTGCTGCTGCTGCTGCTGCTGGTTGGGCGGCGGACTGCTTGGGAGCTTTCTTGTTTTCAGCCTGCAGGCGGTCCTGCCACCACTTCTGCTCTGGGGAAGCAGGAAAGAGTTCACTGTTAGAATCAAAGGCCTGCAGAGACATTTTAAGCCCACCTCGACATGATTACCTGCTAGTCGGTTGTAAATCTGAAGGAGATGAAACACCTTAAAATAAACCTACAGACACTCACTGCTCAGCTGTTCAGGTGGCTCCCCCGACTGAGTCTTGAGTTCCAGTTCAACGCTGGCCTGGAAGCTGAGGCAGGCATCTCTTATTGCTTCCTTTGACCTCTCTGAATTTGGGTTGTTGTCATACTGAGTCAGCTGGGCCAGACCCAGCAGACAGAGGGTGTGGCTGTCCCGCGGCGTGGTCACCACTGCTAGCTGGCATGTCTGTACGCAGCAGCAGAAGGTGCAGGTCTGAGCTCTGTGATGCTCTCGACTTTGTCAAACACAAACCGAGCACTCTTACCCGCTCCTGCATGTCCAGCAGCTCCTGACAAGGGGCGATGGAGGTGAGACGTATGAGAGCGGCGAGGGCCTGGCATCTCTTGGCCACCAGGGAGGGCCTCTCGGTGCCAGTCTTAGCCTGGCTCTGCTGGATCAGCCTCTGCAGCAGGGCAAAGTGAGCATCCAGCAGCACCCACTCCAGCTGCCTGCTCGCCTCGCCACGACACACACACTGACTCACACTCTGGGCAGTCAGCACCGCTACGCTGAAGCATTCCAGCACAGAGACAAGAAGACACGGGTTTTTTTTTTCTTTTTATGCAGCGCTCAAACACATAAACTGGCTCAACGTTGAGACTTTTCTTTGGATCACACATTTACTGTGGATATGAGTGAGACAGGTAATTGGAGCTGAGAAGAAGTAATAAAACCAACAAAAAAAAAAAAAGAGAGGATCTGTCAAATAAAACTCGTGGTGCGTAACATACATGTGATAAACCAGCTCGGCGCTCACGGCTTTTCCAGACAGCGTGTTTCTCTGCTGCAGCTGACCCAGAGTGAGGAGGCCTCGCAGGAAATGTGTACTGAGGCCGGACAGGGGGTCTGACGGATCCTGATCCACCCAGCTGCAGACAAAATCATAAAAACTGGCCGTGAATGCGACGATAAACCTACATACAAGCAAAGGCATCAGAAGGCTCAACCTTAGCCCACACTTTATCCACGTTAAATCAGAATTTTTGTTTTTTGTTTTTGGATTGTCCGTGTTCCAGCAGCAGAAACGGTGGTTCGTGGAAAACCCACGGCCAAAATTAGACTTTGAATTGTCTTTTTTTTTTAAATCCTAACAATGGATGACACCACAGATAAGTATGTCATTGTGCTCCAGCAGACTTTTCTCTCTATTCTCCCTTCTGCAGGCTTAAACAGAACATCCTGCTACATTACTGTTGCTGTCATGCCCTCACACTCTCTAGCTCTCTCTCGCTGAATGCATCCACCTCCACCACACACACACACACACACACACACACACACCTCTTGCTGCAGCGCTGGCTGACAAAGTGCTCCAGTCCCTGTTGTAAGAACAGAGCAGCCTCCTTCTCGGTGTCCTCAGACGCTTTCTGCTCCTGATGCAGCAGAGCCAGCCCCGTGAAGAACCTGAGGAAGGGAAGGCAGCTCGTGTTGAAGACAAAACCTGCTCTTGGGTGCAGTTTTTCATGTTAATCTAGACCCCGCTGACACTGCTGAACAGGCCTCATCCCACACAGCACTCTTTTTTTCAACCCCTATATGAAAATCTGATCTCATATAGGGCTCCTCACTCTTCAGATGAGTGAGCGTTTGAAGAGCAGGTTGAGAGGTTGGTCAAAGCTGCTCTTATGTTACATGACACACGGAGGGAAACTCGTACTGAAACCCTTCTGTGTGCTTTCTTTCCTCAGAACGTCAATACTTCAGCTGCAGTTTGTATGAAAAGGTGACGTTTAAGGTTCTAGCAGGAGATGAAATACAAGACCGTGTACTGCTTCATATTTTTTCATGCGTGGCCTTTAAGTTGATCATATCATGCTTCTTGGTGTGAGATCCTTAGGTAGAAACCTCACATTTCTTCTTCTACTACCAACAACGCTCTTCTGTGAGCCAACCTGAGAGCAGGATGTAGGGGACGCAACGCCAGGCCACTCTGAAGGTGCTGCAGGGCCTCCCTGCTCCTTCCCTGCAGCAGCAGCAGCCTTCCTGCGTGGAGGTTGTACTCCCAGCTGTCTGGACTCAGACACCAGGCATCCAGGTACTTCATGAGGGCTCGGTGGACGCTGCTCCCCTCGTCCTGCAGCGCTGCATTGCTGTCCTGCAACAAGATCGGGGGCAGGATGTTTGTCACTTATTGATGAGTAATTATTTAGTGGAGGCGCTAATTCTAAACAGCTTTAAAGATCAGTAAATACATGTCATGACAGTGTCTAACATTATATTATAAGATAAGATTAGACAAGAAAAGATCAACTTCATTGATCATGATTACATGTTACAGCGGCGAGGTGCAAATGAGTCTTTGAATAAGCAAGAAAAGAAACACAAAAGTACAATAAGGCTAAAAAAAAGAGCGATAGAATAAAAACATGGTAAACCCTTCACATGTGCAAATGGTGAATACACACAGAAACATGTACAGGTGTGACATGATGGATGGATGATGTGTGTGTAGAACTGCACATTTTTGCTCCATTTCTGTTGTTGCACTCAACAAGTTATGTAGAGAGAAAATCAGTGTTAACAGGATGGTTTTGCACTTGAAACGATTTTATATTTTCTTGATCTGGAAGAGCTACAAAGAGAAAAACATTGTGATATGTAGTTGCTGCACATAGCTAGATATAAGTGTAAAACTTAGGTGTCAATAATCTTCGACAGTTTCTTGTGTTTCCGTATGAAAGAGGTCGTTTAACTACATCTAGCAATGGAATGCAAAAAGGTATCAGCGAGGTAACTTCCACTTAATTTGTTAAATGATAAAAAGTCACAGTGGGTTTGTTTGGACACTTAAATAAGGGATGCAGTCAGTCCATCATTAAAAACCTCTGTGGAGACTTGAATGTCTTTGTAGAGGCTTTCTAAACGGTGACTGTAATATCCTGAGACCCTGAACCGGATAAGCGGTTTAAAAACGGGGCAGGAAGGCTGTGCATGCCATCAGATCAGTCATAGGTCAAACAGCACTTCTATTGATGTGGGAGAGACAGGCAGAGATGGCAGAAGCTGCTAATCCATACTGGCGTCTCACTAATTCTCTCACCAGCATCAGACACAGATGTATGCTCAGGCAGTGAGGCAGCAGGTGCCCACAGCGTTTTACAACAGAGATGATGTCTGTGATTGTTAAGTTATGAATTAGATTATGCTGTGTGCATATGTATTTGTTTATTTAATTTTTCACCTACAGTTCAATTTTTTTTTACTATTAGCAAGAGGGCAGTGCTGCCATTTTTGAGTGAGTAGGTGTCAGCTCAGGGCTGAAGAAGAGAAGGAGGCTTCATTAGTGGGTCCTGGGCAGGTGTGTTTCCTTTGTTCTTCATTGTGCTGATGACCGCAGAGA